AGTTTGTATTGCTAAAAATTTCAAATTTCCAAACAGTTCATAAAGAAAATGCTTGCATAATATATTTAATAAATATTTAGCAATTGGAAAATTAGAAAAAAAAAGAAAAACATTTAACCATATTTTCAGAATTACTTAACTAATATATAAGCAAGCCAAACAATATATATTTATATTTTATATTTACAGTCTCATAAATAACTATAATCAAATATAGTTGAATTACTTTGCTGATTTCTTTCATTAATGTTTATAAGTACCTGTCAGCGGGCTTTACAAACATTGTGACAAACCCGTAATGCTCTTTTAGCAAGGCTCTAATTATGTGAGGCGCGGACAAGAGTAGGGAAGCAGAAAAAGCATATATAACGACCCTGGGAGACTTCTAAGGAGGGGCCCGTACATCAGCTGGGTCTGGGAAGTTTCTCATGCAATTAACAAAAGGGGAGAACTGGAAGCACTGGTAGACTGGGAACAAACTATATAAATGTATATGCTGCATGTGCATTGCGGCAGTAATCGTTGTTTTTTTCTTTCGCTGTCTGCTAGCTGAAATACCAAAGGGGATTTTGCTGCTGGTTTGCATATCTATTAAACAGGTATATGGAGTACACACCCTCAAGTGTTGTGGCCCCAAAAAAAAGTTAAGTTCGTGTTCTCACCAAAAACGAAAAGAAAACGTAAGTAGTGCTTCGTTGCCAATAATATCAAAGTTGAAATCCAAAGCGCAAACATGCAACGCGCCAATTATCAGGCCAACAAGGCGGCTGAAAAAGGTTCACAATACGCCCCCAACAGCAGCAGCAACAGCAACAATTGGAGGCAGGCTAATACCTTAAAGTCCACAACGCTCTGAGGGGTTGGCTGCCTCCTCTCTCCACCCCTTTGGCCAACATGTGGCGTGCCGCTTGTCAATCTTGTCAGTTTAACCTTTCGACTGACCTCCATGTTAACTTTTTAGTTTGTTTAGCTGTTGCTTGCGACGATTCTTTGCTGTTCGTTTTAGTTTCCTAAGCTAACATTGAAGCATTAAATGGCAAACTTTTTGCCTGCTGTTTCAGCTTGCACAATTAAGGCAGCAGCGTAGGTGACAGGAAGCGAGTGGGTGTGGCTGCTTTATGAAGTAGCATATATGCTAGACATCAATTAGTTTTATAAGTGTTGTTTTTGTTATTTAGCAAAGGGCTTTTTTAACCTTTGATATACGTTGAGAAACCCAGAGGGGGAGCTAGCATAGCATAAACTCTATTAAATTTATTGGGGTAGGTTAGTTGTTCTGGTAAATAAATGAGTTGGGTATATAGAGAAAAAAATATGATTGAATTGAAGCTAGTTCCATGTGAAATAAAAAAAGTTCTCAAGCAAAGTTTTGAGCGACTCCTAGGAATTACTGCGAAACAAATATCTGCATGCTTTTCAATAAAAAATATAATGGATCTTGACTATACATATATGAAATATATATTCTAAAATATAATATAGAATTTTTTTTTACTATATATGATGTATCTATTCTAAAATATAATATATAGATAGGCGATAGACTCAAATCTTCAATATATATAGCCTCTGATAACTATTTATGTATAAATAAATGGTACAATAGACGTATTCCGAAAATTAACTTAAGTAATACCATAGAACGGAATATGTTTATAAATTAATTGACATAATATTGAGCAAAGTGTAATGACAATTATCATAGAAATACACACATTAAATAAATAGGCATATAGCAGTACGAATCCCAACTGGTTCAAGCCGTAAGCTTCCACCAACATTTGAAGTAAACAAGAATTAACAATTACACCTCCATGCAAGTTTTTCACACTGTCAACTATTAATCAGTCTCTGACTAATATAAGTCTAAGTGCAAGTTTTCAGTATGTTATCGCACAGATTCTTATCGCTGTTGCCAGGTTGACACCAAACAGAAGAAGAAGAAGAAGATCTCTGCCCGTCTCAATGGACTGCTAATCGCAACAGTAGCTGCTCGCTCATAAGCTATATCAGTCTCTGTCTGTGACAGTATCAGAGATTACGGATCAGCCGAAAGCAAGCTGCGGTTCATTCAAAACTCACTCCGAATGATGAAAACAAACAGAAATGTGAAATTATTATTGTTATACTACGGTTGCTGTCTCTTTGGCAAGAGCGTCGCAAATCGTGCGAATCTTTTGCTTTATGTTTTTGTACAAATAATAATTTTAGACTTGTAATACCTAAGCGCAGCTATATAGATATATGTATATAGAAAATTAACCTAGTTCGCACGTCGATGCCGAAACAAACATAAAGCAAAAGCAGAAGAAAATACACACAGCGAAACATGCATACAGTAAGGTGCATAGCATAGCATATTTAAGTACTATATACTGTATATACATACATATCTAAGTCGTATATGCGCACCGACAGCATGGCCTCAAGTGTCTCGGCAGATGGAATTGGGATGGGGTGTGGGTGCGGGTGCGGCATTGTAAGCGAGCTAATTGCAAGCGAATGCGACAGAATGTGCAAATATTATTATTAGAAATGCCGCTAGCTACAGCTACAGATAGACAGATAGTAAACGACAAAAAGGCCACGCACTCATTCACACTCATTTACGCGCATATTCACATTCACATTCACATTCACACACTCAGCGATTCACTTTCACCTGCTGATAAACAGAGAACCTGAGCATGTTGCGTGGTTGCGACTTTAGTTCGTACTTCTCAACATGCATTTAAAATTCATAATTTTTTCCTTTTTTTTTTTTGCAACTCTATCTATGCCCCCGCCACCACTCTCGCTCTCTCTCTCTCTTTTTAGAGCTCCGTCTCCCAATGGCGTATTTGGGTCAAACATGCAAACTCATTGAGTCTGAGACTCGCAGTCTCGTCGCTGCCAAACTGGAAAAGCACAAATCTAAAATTGTATAACCTGCTCTGGCTTGGCTCAAGTGCTGCAATCGCTAGAGATGGGAGGCTTTAGCCATTGAGTAGCACGAAAATATTGATTGGCGATTTATGAATAATCGAAAAGAATCTTGAATCTATACTATATAACTACATACATAATATATACATTGGTAAGTAGGTATTAGCGAAAAGTATTTGACAATATATATATTTAGTGATGAGCGCGTTATTGATAGTCATCATATATTTTATATTTGTTTGATATATAAATGAATTTATAAATATGACTAACTATTGAATGACCACATTTATTAAATATTTAAGCAACTGCCTGCTATCTATAACCTAAGCAACTGCTGAAATATAGCTAACAGAAATATAGAATAGAAATATTACTCTTGTTTGGTCAGCCTTTAGTTATCCAGCATAAAAGAAACTCATAGATATGCCAATTATTACAAATATGAATAAAATGAAGCCAACATCTTATAAAAAGTAAATTATGTATATAACTTCACATTTAACCCAAAAGAGCAGAAATCGATTCTAGATCCATCTATTGCGTAAATGCATAAAAAACGAACTGAATACCCAAAGACCAAAAAAATGATCAATTTATGTGCACACATATAGAAATAGACACTCACACACACATACGTATCCATTGATATTTAAGCTAAACAAACGCATCTCTACCTCAGACTGATCGAAGCCTGGCTCCGTTGCGTATCTTTGTATCTGCGGCCATAAATTGCGCCCACTTTGATCTTGCCACATTGAATGTAAAGTGCTTAATGGCCAAGTGCTGCGAACCTTTGTGTGGCATAAAATTGCATTGTAATTTACAAAAACAACAGCAACAACGAAATAAATAAATATATATACCTACATAAATATATATATATATATACATAAACAGATATGTGTATTGCCAGTTGCAGTGCAAATGCGAATAGAGCATGTTTTCTGTTTGTTTTTTTTTTCCTACATCTATCTGCGAGTCTGTGACTTTTTTTTGTCTCATTCGCTCTTTGCGCTCGGCTCGTTCTTCACGTTCTTTTGGGCTCCCCAGAGATTTTAATCGTTGTCGCCGAGCGCCTTGTCAACATTTCAACGTTTTGCTGCTGCTTTACATTGGCGTCGCATTGCTATACCCTGTATTGGTAATACAATGGGTATAATGGCAGAAGTAAATGGATTGGAGAGTTTGACTAAATGCATAGATACGATATGATATTAATATCTATAAGTATTTTAAGTATTAAGTTATATATAATTAAGACGTATTTATGTATAAAAATATAGTTTGACAAATAATGAAAATTATTTCGATATACATATACTTTAATAGATACTCTTAAGTTCTAAATGGTCTTCTTGAGGACCTACACAGGTGTCCTATTTGAAATTAAATATTCACGTCTGCAAGACTTATGCAATCAGATTGCTGTTTGAAGCTTAGTGGAAAGTTACGTCAATCTAGCAGTTAGTATATAATTAACAGAACCTCGATATTTTTTATATGATACCCTGTTTGCAATAAAAATTTGCAAGAGGAGTATAAAAACTGGAAAAAATAAAACAAAAAATTTTGTTAACAAAAAAAAAAAAAATATTTAGAAGAAATACAAAATTCAGATTAGATGACCTTTAAATTTGAAACATATAAAATGTACTGAATTATGCTTAATAGGATCTACATAAAAATAATAATATATAGACAACACCTTAATTAGGACCAAAAAAGAATGTATATGTTTTACAAGTTAAATTAAACGATGTTTTTCATAATATTCCCAGTTCTTTTTCTCTTCTAATAGAGGTATATTTCTTTCAATAGCTAGCTCGTGACACTGGATTATTTAATTGATAAGCAAAAAGAATCCAGTGGAAATACTTGTTAATGAAATGCAATTTCTTTTTCTGTTTACTGTATACATATATTATAAATGTTGAGAACTGCAACAACTGGAAGATGATTATAGAGTAGAGCACTCGAAGCGCAACTCTGTAGGCAAAAGCCAACTTACAGAAATTATATAAAAGCTATGTGCGTCTAATGCCAATTTACAGTTCGATTTTTAATTTCAAGGAGTCAGAAGGAAGCAGCCAAAGTAAAAACAAAAAGGTTTGGAGTCATGTTATTCAAGTACATAAGAGATGAGACTCTGGGAGACTACCTTAGCAGTCGCGATGGCTTTAAGTACTTGCAGCGAGTCATGAAGTGCGTGGCCTGGCTGCCACCCAAGAGAGGTACACGATTCTATTGGCCCTACATCATGTGGATGATATGGATTCATTTCACGGTTAATATATATTTACCGATTATGATACTGACCAGCTATATAATCAATTTCAAGTTATTTAAGGCACATGAACTGCTGGGTTCAGTTCAAGTCTTTTTCAATGTCATGAGCCTAGTCTATAAGGTGATAGTGAATTTTATAAATATTTGGCGCTTCGAGAAGCTCATGGAAATGCTCGATACATTGGATAAACGATGTATTCAATTCAATCAACAAAGCGAAGTGCATCGTAGCGCTGTACGCTGCAATATGGTATTTTTGGCATTTCATGCCACATATGCGTTCTATTCGACTTTTACCTATTTGGGCGCCACACTCACTGGCTCAACTCCGTGGGTAATATACAATCCCTTTGTTGACTATCGCACGAGCACAAGGAACCTATGGATAGCAGCGACATCAGAGTATATTATTGGTTCAGGTGCCATCTATGCGGATGAAATTACCGATCTCTATCCAGTTTTATTCAGCTTAACCTTGCGAACTCATTTGAAATTGTTGGCAAAGCGTATCGAAACGCTGCGCACAGATCCCGAACTCACAGAGGAGCAGAACTACGAGCAGTTAGTAAACTGTGTCAAGGATCACCAATTATTGCTGCAGTAGGTCAAGTCAAGTCTATGGCTAAATTAACGTAATAAAAAATTTTTCAATTTTCAGATATTGCGATATGCTGCGTTCGGTCATCTCTCGCACCTTTTTTATTCAATTACTCGTGATAGGTCTCGGCCTGGGACTTTCGCTGATAAACCTGATGTCTTTTGTGACTTTCTCGAACAGCCTGTCAACGATTTTGTTTATATTAATCCTGTTAATACAGACATTTCCCTTTTGCTATGTCTGCGAACGGATCCACGATGATTGCTACAATCTGAGCTCGGCCCTATTTTATTCGAAATCAATTGATGCAAGTCGGCGCTACAAGTCGACGTTTTTATACTTTTTACAAAATACTCAAATACCGATTGAATTTACTGCTGGCAGCTTATTTCCCATCTGCATGAGGACTAATTTAACTGTAAGTAGATTGGGCATTAGTATTTATTTTAAATTTATTTATTTCTATTTTTCTCTTCAAGTTTGCCAAGTTTGCATTTTCGGTGGTAACTATCGTCAAGCAAACGAATATTGTTGAAAAATTAAAATTACGTTTAGGGGAAACATAAGGAACTACAAGTTGCAGTCAGTAAATGAAAAGAAAATTTATATTGATCAATATTATGCTAATTTTAGCTTAGATCAAGATCCTAACTTAGCTGCTATAATCAGCACTTGGGCACGCGTTATTTACATTATGAATATCTACTTCTTGCAATAAAATTATCAATTCGTAGTTCACTCTCTAATACAGGGTATTTACTAGCTGAGCCTTGAGTGCAGCCTTACTTTGCTCTAGTCTGCTCTGCATGGTCCAACATTGATCACGACTGGGCAGATAGACAGCATAGACCTGTGCATCGACCGTCTACAAGTTCGAGTCCAAGTCAAGTTGAGAGCTACTTGGCTGCTGGTCGGTGGCTGCTGCTGCTGCAGTTGCAGTTGCTGCTGCTGCTGCTGTCTCTGTGTGTTGTATGTATTTAGACATGGCATTCTTTCTATGGAAACAATTGCATACAATGTGAATCCTGATAGCGACAAAAAACCACAAGACAAAACACTGGCTCGCCTCGGCTTGGCTTGGCCTGGTCGGGTCTAGTGGTCTAGACTGGTCCCATGTGGCGTTGCAGTGGCCACTCTTTCAAGAGAGAAGAAAACTTAAAGAGCAGCAGCAGCAGCAGTTGCCAAGAAACGAATCACCATAAAGTCAAGTTATATGGCTGCAGAAAAATATTGTTTTATGTCAGCATCAGCTTGCCATATGAGAATTGAATAGCAAGGCGCTAGCGTAATTTAAGGAAATTTTAATTGAAAAATTCTTATGCATGTATATATTTATAGTTATAGCCAACTGATATGGCATGATAATGAGTTAATTGATCAACATTAACACCAAGATTTCTAAACAATTTGCAACTCATTTGCCCAACCCATATCGAATTGGTGTGTTGTGCGGGTTAAAACCTAGCAAAGTTCAAGCATGCCCACCTGGAACAGCGCACTTAGCACACACTAATGAGAGACAGAGAAAGAGGCACGATAGAGAGAGAAAAAGAGAGAGAGAGAGAGAGAGAGATAGAGATGTGAGAGGTATGATCGGCGATCGGCTCTGCAGAAAAATAAAAGAGACCAATCCCCCCATCGATAATAATCGGCAAACAAGTTTCATAGTTTGACCGACGCGACGCAACTCGCAAGACATAATCCCTGGGCGCATTGTGCATGGCCCGGCTATAACGGAACCGAACAAAACGCTAATTGTGCACGCCTCTAGAACATGACTCAAATCAAAAGAAATAGCCATGGGCCATGGCCCAAACAGCTCGACAGATATCAATATTTGGGCATCTACTACCACTACCACGACTATGAAAACTGTAGGCGATCGCGGCAATGAGATAGCACAAAACCCTGGCGTTTAATTGGGTAATTGGCTCAAGTACCGTACGTAGTATTACCAGACCGCGAGCATCCAAATTGAAATACTCGCACATGACTCAAAGAGAAATACAAACTAGGGAGAGAGTGGGGAGATCCGATCCGACTCCCAATCTCGCCTCACCACTAAAAACGTAATGCAACTAAATTGCAAGTGTGTACACATCGAGCCAAGGGGCGGGGCGTGGCGTGGACGGGACGAATCGTAGGCATTACAGCAGGGTGTTAGCTGCGCTTATGAATTGACGTCTGTTTGGGTCAGGCCCGGCAACGAGAAATAGAATAGAATGGTAAGTCGGGAAGTCTTTGACTGAGTGCAGCTCGTGACTGGACAACCAGTTGGCAGCCAACTCGACTCTTCTCAGTTCCCATGATGGCAAAACTGGGCGGCAGCTCTAGGCAACAACTGTTCGCTGCACCAGCAGGCCCCAAAAACTATATAGATGTGTGTGTGTATGTATATTGAGAAAAGTAACTGTTTGTTACTCGCCAGTCAAGCAACCCGTTTGCGTCTTCTTTCTATTTTTGCTGAATATATGCAATGCCAGAAAAGCCTTCAGGCCAAAATAAACTAGGAGAGAGAGAAAAAGTGGGGATGCAGTTGGAAGTGCAGGTACTCTAGGGGGATATTCGAAATATTTAACACAATATAATATATATGGAAAGTATTTTTAAAAGTGAGTTGAATAGATTGTAGATTTTAAAAGTAAATTTTTAATAGATATGGATGTGTTATTAAAGGATAGAACTTATATATTCACTTTGCATTCTCTCTACAGTCGTTCACCTTGTGGAAAATCTTATTTATCTATCTCTGCATCAATGTATTTATGTATTTATCTATATATAGGTCTGGCTGGCTGTCTTATATCTATCTATCTGTCTGTCTTTCTATCGGTATCTATCTATATCTATTTATCTATCTGTATCTATCCATCTATCTACCTATTTGTATATCTATATCTAAATATATTTATCAATCTATATCCATTGTATCAGTACCATTGTCTCAATATCTATCTAAAGTAAATCAGATTTGAGAATTGCTTGAGGCTTTGCACATATTTTATCATTTTATCACTCTTATATATTATTATATATATTATAACTACACAAAATATTATATATATCTATATAATATATATTTTTTTTAAATCCTTAAACCTATTACCAACGACATCTAAAAACGCAAAGCTGCCATGCTGTAAAGTGTATTAAAAGACTGGTTCGCTCTTGAGTGTGAGGCCTTAAAGTGGCAAAGCAATTGAACAAGTGAACTTGTATGTGTGTGTGTGTACAAGTATTATGTGTGTATGTGTATGTGTATCTGAGTGTGCTTGTGCACTCACATAGACAACTTGGCTATAGCTGAGTTTGACTTGGACTACGAATTGGAGGCTGCCAGACCAGCCCATTCAGGTGATGCTTTAATGAGTCCTTTATCACGTCGACTCGCATGCAGCGAGCATATACAAGACTCTGGCAATGGCACTGGCAATGGCAATGGCAATAGCTATAAGAATTATGGCTTCATTGTGAGTGCAGCCAGCGGTTCCCACCACCATTGGATCGATTGTGCGAGAGAAATTCAAATGCATTTTATTTTAATTTCAAGTGCAGCACAGCACTTGAACTTTGCATTCGATTCAGTGCTTGGCTGTTTGCCTAACGGTCAAACAGCTAGCGGCTGCTGTCAAATATTTGACAAGTATTCAATAATAGTTACGGAAAAGTGTTTATTTAGGCGCCCAAAAAACAAATCATCATATAGAACGAACGGTCATTGGACTCCATTCAGCCGCACACAGCGTTTGTAGCTGAAGTTTTTGGGCTCGATTCTGGGATCTGGGGTCTCTGGGCGTCGGGGAATGTACGTCACGACGCATGCAATTACATGCAGCCATAAATACAATTGCCAGAGAGACAGAAAGAAGAAGCGGCCAAAAAGACAATCGCAGACGCCGCCGTCGCCGCTTCAGCGAGCCATGAACTTGCCTCTTGGCTGGCCATGCCTAAGCCAAGCTTATAATAGCTCCATGCCCATGCCTTTCCCTGGGCTCTTCTATAGAGAGAGATGGGGTGAGAGAGAAGGGGCGGGCTGGCAGAGCCGACAGCGTTTAGTTGATCGACACTTTTATGTTGACGTCGTGCGCGTTGTCATCGTCTTCAGTCTTCAGTCTTCAGTTTTCAGTCTTGGCAGTTCTGGTGCTGCGCCTGCCAAACCAATTGATTGATTCCATAGAACAATGCGCAATGGTCGCCGATGCGCCGCCAGCAACAGCTGCAGTCTACACACACACACACACACACACACACTCGTAGACAGCAGCAGCGCACAGTGGTCTGAACATTATCTATGTGCTTAAACGAGTATTCGTATTCCTAGGAATTTACTAAACACGTTGGGCCTCAGACCACCCGAGACACAAATTGTTGCTATCATCAATTTTGTCATTCCTAGCGCTGGACATTGCGTGTTCCCTAACCTGAGGACATTTAATACCGTTTATTTTTCTGATGTTATCTAACTACTCTAATCAATATTAATCCAGATGGAAAACTTGCTCTGAGAATCAATCATTTAAGCCATTTCTTTCAGACGTAACTTAAGGCAGGTTCAAGTTCATTTGGCCTACATATTCAACTTCTAAAGAAATGAATGCTTGTTAGATTTTTCACAAAATAAATTAATGTTTTTATGCTCATAACTATATAATTTTTTATCTTTTACAGCAACTTTTTCCTACATCAAAAACATATTAAAACTAATACATTTTTTAGTACAATTACGTTTGAAGTATCCTCAATGTGTTCTTTCACTTCACATAAAAAAATTCAGCTGGAAGTGTTTTTATTAACCAGGAAGTTCTCTCGCTCAGAGTAGATTTGATTTGATTTTTTCCTTTTGCTTTCCTGTTGCGTATGACAGGAAGTCGCCCACTGTGCTAGGTTCCGCTTATTATAAATGCGTAGCAATAACACAGAGCGTGGTCACAGGCAAACAGCCAGAGCTGGAGCCAGACCTAGAGCTAGATCCGAAGCCAGGCGGAGCATAAAACAAACGGCGAAGGCACTCAACCAAGTCGCAGTCGGAATCGCGTCGCTTTGCTATTGCTATTGTTGTTGTTGCTGTTGTTGTTGGCCAAGTGGAGCCATTGTTTTGAGGCGCAACAGGCAGCAGCAGCCGTTACCACTTGCAACATTTGTTGCTGCTGCAAAGGCACCGACGAACCCATAAAAGTACGGGCGGGCCAGTAAATGGAACAGGTACGACTTAGCAAGATGTTCACGCTCCAAAAAAAGCGCTTTGACTTTTTTTCGCCAGAACAATGCAAGTGAGAGATGCAGAGAGAGAGAGAGAGAGAGAGACCGAAAGCCAGAGAGTCACAAAAGGAGTAGCCAAACTCTTCTTGCAACATTCACTGAGTCACCAAGCACAACAACCCCACACACTCACAACACACAGACACACTCCAACAGTAACATGTACACCCACACACACAAACACTCCAACATCACACCTGATCGTTTGTATTTCATTTTCTTGGCCCAATAATATTTACTGCAAATAATTGTTCACGCATTTGAGCTGCGACAATATTCGTACTCAGACTTTGTTATTTCATAGTCGGAAGACCTTGAAAACCTATAGAATGTCTGGTCAATAATTGCAAAGCTTAATTGACCAGAAAAGAAATACATTA